ACCAGACCTAAATTTTATTAAAAGTAAATAAATTAAATCTTCTCTCTCTTAATAGCAAGAATAAACCTATATATCCAAACTGCGAATTTCCCAAAACAAGAGGGACCAATATGCAATTTTGGAACTTTCCATACCATTATTTATAACTTCCCTTCAAAACCCCATTCTTCATCTCTCTCTTTCCTTTATGGCCAAAGAAAACTCCACCAGTAACTCCGTCTGCCACGGCGGCGATCAGTCGCCGGAGGAGAGTGGCTGGACCATCTACTTCCAAGATTTCCTCAACACCAACCACCCTGCTCACTATCCTGCCTCCTCCTCTTCTCATCCGTCTCCCGATCAAAGCTACTCCGTCGCCGACGCCGCCTCCTCCATCGCCGATCACAAACTACCCGGCGACGACAACCGAGCTGCCATGGATCCCAATTTGAGCTGCAAAGATCATATCAACCTTTTCAAGAGAAGGAAGATGATCAAAGAGTTGTTGGTTGAAGATGAAGCTTTGGAGGATACAGCTAGCTCTCCGGTTAACAGTCCAAAGGTAAAATTTAAATTATGTATTAATTATAATTTTAATAGTTAAAAATATGAATAAATGATTGAATTTCACCGAACCCGAGTTTGAGTTAACAAATCTCGAGTTTTGTCTAATGGGTTTTCTTGGACGTGAAAATATGCAGGTTTCTGATGCAACTTTCTTCAGTAAGAACTCGGGACACAACGAGAACCAGATAAAGGTATGGAAGTACATGGTCGAAAATGATATTTTAATTTTTTAAAAAAGAAAATGATGGAAGTGTTGTTATTTTGGGCAGGTAAACGAGAGAAGAGAAATGGGTTTAGTTGGAATTGGAAATGAGTACAAAGAGTTGAAGAAAAGAGGGCTTTGCTTGGTACCTTTGTGTATGGTAATGAATTATTTGGCTCAATAATTGCCATCTCTCTCTTGTTTATGTGCATATTCATTGGATGAAGGCGCTATTGTGTACGATACCATGTCTAACACGTTGGTGTATCATTATTGTAATCAAATCGAGGCATTACAATATTTACTTTCTTATGATCGTCTTGATCTGAATCTTGGATATGGGTGTTACAAATAGTGTTAGAGCGATGTGTCTTTCAATAAGATGTAGTTCGAGAACGAACCCAAATGAAAGTTGGTGGGTATGTGACACGAGAGTAAACGAGGGTATATAAATGAACTAGGATCATATTTGAATGAAAACGGATCTGAGGATAGGATGCTAAAGAGGGTTTAAAACGAATTGAAACTTACTACCTATACCAATAAAGTGCACTTTCGTTTTCGGTGGCTCAATCATTGGATATTTTCACTCATAGAAGCTAGGAGTAGGTAAGGTGACTATGTCGTCTGGGATGTGTAGGAGAATACTGGGGTCATCAACTGTGGAATCTAAATTCTGGGTATGTGGCGTTACAAATGAAAAATAAATATCGACATTGAAAAGTTGTATTAATCCATGGACATTCATGTTCAAACGTCTCATGCTTCAGAATTGGAATTCAGATTCGATATTTGATAGCACAGACATTCTCCTATGACATGGTCATGAAATGTACTTATCTTGAATTGGTTCTAAAAGTGAATACTGTCTCTAGAGACCAACACAAACGTTTGTAGTGTTCTTAGCGTTCTTTGTCGTCATTCTTATACTTACGAGAAAATTTATAGAAAATCATTCAACATAGAATTACTCCAAAACAAGTCGACTTAAATTTAAAGTTTTTATGATTGAACTACCAAAAAATAAGATCCACCTTATTGGTATAGACAGTAACTTTTAATTTTTTAAAAGTTTTTCTTGGTCATCCTATTCTCATAATCCCTTTTATTCAGATATGATCTTGGTTCATTCATGTATTTCTTATTTACTCCGGTGTCACGTTAGAACATATATATTTTAAATCAAAATGTCAGATATCCAAATTATACACTAAAAAATTAATTTCTTCTACCGTTCAACAAGAAAAAGTATAACATACACCACATATGAAGTTATTCGTCGATTCAACTTTCTTTTAAATTTCTTTAGAGAATAAAGGGTGTTCTCAATTCGACTGTTCGGGTCGCCAAAAAAATTACATATTTATAAAAGTAGAACTCATATTTTATACAAAATAGGGTGCAACCAGCAATTTTGTAGAATAGGAGGACTAAAAGAAAATTTTTTGTTGAAGATTCCTTCCAATTTGATTATTTTTTATTCCATAATAGGTCCAACAATTTTTCTTTATTTAAATAATGGACTTGAGAAATTTCTATAAGAATATTTTGTTTTTGTATTTTAATATGAAAAAAAGGAGCAAGTTTAATGTTTTTTCAAAAAAGAAAAAGTATCTTGAGCTTACGGCTATACATAACGAGTCAAATCGGACAATATCTATTAGCAGTGGGCTTGGGCTGTTACAAATTGTATCAGAGCCAGACACCAGACTCGATTGGAGAGGAAAACGAAGTATTTTTTATAAGGGTGCGCGCGGAAATCTCTCCATAACATACACGTTTTAAAATCATGAGGCTGACGACGATATGTAATGGGTCAAAGCGAACAATATCTATTAGCGGTGAACTTCGACTGTTACATGCACTTAAAAAATAAAAGAAGTATATTAGTGTAAGTCATGATTGCATGTGTATGCATTTTCGAACCCGAACAATTGAGTCAGTTATTTAAATTTTGTTTTAATAAAAATAAGGTGTTAGTTTATGAAACATCTTTTTATTTATTTTAAAAGTTATTGAAAATTAAATAATTAAAAAATTTATTATAAGATTAAATAAAAATAATATACATTCAAGTTTAAAATTAACAATAAATTCGATGGGACGTCCCACATTGGTTGGGGAGGAGAACAAACCACCATTTACAAGGGGGTGAAAATCTTCCCCTAACAGACGCGTTTTAAAGTCCTGAGGGAAAATCCGAAAGGGAAAGCCCAAAGATGATAATATCTGCTAGCGGTGGATCTAGGCTATTACATTCGAGTTGGTTCGGTCCAACCCAATTTATTTGGAGAGAAATTCATGAACCAATCTAATCAATAAAGTTTTCATTTATTTGAATTCAACCGGTTCAAATAAGTTCATAATCTATCGTAAATTATATGAGTTGGATTGATTGAATTTTTTGAACACCTCTATTAATGACTGATCTATGCTCAAATTGTTTTTGACCTTTTATAAATAACCGGATGTGCAATTTTTAATTAAAAGAAATAAATAAAATTGTTGATAAATTAAAAATATAATTATTCTTAATAATTTAAACCTTATCCAACTTCCATTTAAAAAATAATATGACTCCCAATAAGATGTGGAAGAATTTATATAATATTGGTAGTGGGATTTTCTTATTATCTAATTAAACATAAATTTAGGGTATTAATTAAACCTTACTTTACTTCCTATAAATAGTATAACTGTAGCGACCGAGATCCACCGCCAGCAGATATTGTCCTTTTTGAGTTTTTCCTTTCGGGCTTTAAAACGCGTCTGCTAGAGGAAGGTTTCCACACCCTTATAAATGATGGTTTGTTCTCCTCCATAACTAATGTAGGACATTAGAGCCAGACACCAGACGATGTGTCAGCCTTCACGCTATTCTCCGAAGGGGGTAGACACGAGGCGGTGTGCCAGTAAAGACGTTGGGCCACAAAAGGGGGTGGATTTGGGGGTGGTCCCACATCGATAAGAGGAAGGAATGAGTGCCAGCAAGGACGCTGAGCCCCAAAGAGGGTGGATTGTGATGTCCCACATTGGTTGGGGAGGAGAACAAACCATGTGGAAACCTTCTACTAGCAGACGCGTTTTAAAATCTTGAGGGAAAACCCAAAAAAGACAATATCTGCTAAAAGTGGATCTGGGGCGTTACAATAATATTCTCGAACCAAATAATTAGAAGTTCAAATTTTCACGGATCAATTAATAAATGTTTATTTTCCATTATTTTTTTTTATTTAATACAAAAAAAACGGTTTGAAAATATTTTATAAAGAATCTTACACAATCAAGTTTTTCTATAATAATTACAAGGTTGGTGATCATTGAAAAATGATAAAATAAAAAAATAAAAAAAAACACATTATATTCCTTCATAGTTAAATAATGTAAAAATATCATTAAAATATATATCTCAAATATATTTTATAACTATTTAATTCAGCAATTCATAGGCCACCTAAAAAATTTATTATTTAATTATGTCTAAATATAAAAATTATGATTGGACCGTTCAATGAATCACACGTAAAGATGTTCATCCTTACACGACTCTGTCCCAACCGAGGTGGAGAAAAACTGATGGTAAACTAGGACAGGAATGAAAAACTCCGGAATGATATATTTAAACTGTTTTTGACACCGAAAAAATGTATAGGAATTATGTAGGCATCGTTCACAGACTTGTTATGTTATAGATGAACTATGGGGACCTCATGAATATTTGTGTGTCACGTGCATTATGATACTTTTCCATGATGATTAGTACAGACGTGTATATTACAATTTATGTTTGTCATGATGTTATGCAGGTCCTTTACCTCTGTGGTGTTTGACAACATCTCATAGTGAGTGTTAGCCTGATGATCTAGACCCAAGGGGGTGTGCAAGCCCGCTTGGTGAACCCATGGTCGTACGCGTGAGTCATGCATAGAGAAGCACTAAACATACAACTTTTCCAATACTATGATATTTTAAAAGGATAGGTCCCGCATGTGTTTGTATTTTTTTACGTTTACTTACTGAATATTTAATAAATTAAGTGAGTCATGTACTACTCTTACATTTTAGGTAAGTATAAGAACTCTTCTACCGATGACAATAGTGTCATCACGAAGATCATCAACCCAGTGTTGTAGCTCCTACGTCTTATGAACACATTATTTTATTCTTTTCTTTGTTTTATTTAAATTTCACATTATTTATTTTTCTGGTATTGTTTTCAATTTTTTGATCCGATTTAAAATATTTTAAATAAATGTTTCCACATTATTTACATATATTTCAGTAGAAAAGTAGTATCTCTTCCATCAAGCTAAGATAGCAGCAGCAGCAACAAATGCTCCAACGGAGCCAATGCTGCTCGGAAGGATCGAATATCCAAGACTCGGAGGTGGCGATATAGGAGCAGAAGGGCTGATCTCAACCGTCGGAGGTGGAGCCTCTTGGCCAGAAGGCGCAGGAGATGGGCTGATCTCAACCGTCCTCGGTGGCGGTGGTGGAGCCTCTTGCACAGAAGGCGCAGGAGATGGGCTGATCTCAACCGTCCCCGGTGGCGGAGACGGGTTGGTTTCCTCAGCGGGTGGCGGAGACGGGTTGGTTTCGTTAGAAGGCGCCCAAGTTTGATCATTTGCAGGCGCAGGAGAGGGAGCTGAGGGTGGAGGAGGCAAAGTGGTTGAATTGGTTCTATCAGCCAAAACAACCACAACCAGCTTCTCATCTTTGAGGCAATTGGCTTTGTTTCCACTGATAAAATAGTAAGCCCCTGATTTGTCAAACTGGAAAACAGTATGGCCATCGGAGTACTGTTTGATTGGCGCTTGGATGCTGCAATTGGCGTAGTCATCTTGGGTTACTTGAAGCACCGAGTCTTGATCAGCAGCATAGTTGAAAACTGCATGCACATCATGATAAGGGTCAAATGAGATCTCGTATCGACTGTGAGATCTTATATTGGTTGAGGGAGAGAACGAAATACCATTTGTTTATAAAGATGTGGAAACCTCTCACTAGCATATGAGTTTAAAAAAAAGTCCAAAAGGGAAAGCATAAAGAAGACAATATCTACTAGCGGTGGGCCTGGGCCGTTATAAATGGTATCAAAGCCACACACCGGGCGATGTGCTAGTGAGGAGGCTGAGCCCTGAAAGGGGTAGACACGAGATGGTGTGCTAGTAAGGACGTTGGGCTCAGAAGGGAGGTGAATTTGGTGGAGTCCCATGTCGATTAGAGAAAATAACGAGTGCCAACAAAGACGTTGTGCCCAGAAGGAGGGTAGATTTGGTGGGAGTCTCACATCGATTGGAGAAAGGAATGAGTGTCAGTAAGGAGGGATGCTGGGCCCTGAAGGGGGTGGATTGTGAGATCCTATTGAAGAGGAGAACGAAACACCCCCACATCGATTGGAGAAAGGAACGAGTGCTAGGCCTCAAAGGGGTGGATTGTGACGTCTCATATCGGTTGGGGAGGAGAACGAAACACACCCACATCAATTGGAGAAAGGATCGAGTGCCAGCCAGGACATTGGCCCCAAAGGGAGTGGATTGTGAGATCCCACATCAGTTGGAGAGGATAAAAAATCTCGAGGGAAAGCTCGAAAGAAAAAGCTTAAAAAAGACAATATCGATTAACAGTGAGCCTGGACCGTCATAAATACTTAAAGAGATAGCTATGAAATTTGACGTACCTAAAGAGTCTCCAATTTGAAACCTGTTAGCTTCTGCCCATTGATTATAGGTTTGGGCCATTGAAACTCCCCAGCCCTTGGCTCCCCCAACTATGAACTGAGTGGCTTCACTTTTGTGCAACGACAACGCCATTACTGCCCATATCAAACCTCCAAATGCAAACCCTAATTTGGCCATTTGAGATCGCTAAATGGGTTTGAAGCAGGTTTTGAATGGATTGAATGGGTTTTTGTAGGGTTTGTTGAAGGATGAGAACATGGTTTTGATACTCAAATTGATGATCTGTTTGGTTTAGATTTCTTGATTTCAAATGGGTTTATGCTTTGCTTTACTATTTCTTTTCAGAATATTCATATCTTGTGGTTTGGATTTGAAGGGAAAAAGATATAAAATTATTCTCTATTGACCTTCCTTCCTTCTTCAACTCTATACTTTTTCTTTAAGACTGATTTATATTTATATTGGATCTTCTTCTTGTTTCTTTGTTGACATACAACTTGGCTTGGCTCGATTTTTTAAAAACCAAAGTGTCGCGATCATGTTTGTCCAAGGCGTGTTGTTCATGGCCGCATGACTATTGCATGTCAAGCCCCTTGTGTTGTACTATGTGTATGACATTTCGACAAAATCATATCTATACGTACTAGACCTGAAATGACTCGGAATGTACTAGCGGCTAGTTGTCAATTCGAAGTTATATCCTATCTAAGCTGTTATGTTGTCTTCTTTACTAATAGCCTACAACATTATTTCTCTCGATCTTACCTTCAAATTCTCTTTTTAAAATCTCCCTACCCCATTTTCTAGAACTTTCCCATGTGGATTCAAAGGCTTGGGGTATATGTCATCCGAGCGACAAGATTTCAAGTTGGCTAACTCACTTAATGGAGAGAAAAGTGTCACACAATTACTTGCAAATGTCCTTTATAATGTATCTAATAATCATAAGAGCTACAGCAATACTTCATTTTTACATAAATACAATATCTCCATCAATCACTCACTCTCCCTAATTTTATCTATAATTAAAATTTCACAACCTTGTTATATAGAAAAAATCTTGCCGAATCCAATTTTGCTTTTTTTTTTTTATTAAAAAAAGACGAAACGAAAAACAAACGACGGGAACGTTCCCGGGCAACAAAATTGTCTGTCTATTAAAATGCTCACATATATCCAGACATCATCACCATTGTTCCTAAACAAACTCTAGAAAATATCAATGGCTTCAGGTCTCAACCAAGAACAAGAACAAGAAAAGGTTTGTCAGATCAATCTTCTTTCTATTTCTGGGAATGATGTGAATCCAAGCTAAATGCAGGACATGACAATAATACAACAAGAAGAGCAGTTCAAGAACCTGCAGAGAGGGATTTTACATCCCCCACACGCTATCGTTGCATCGGTTGTTGTCTAAGATACATACTAGTTGTTGCTCATGATGCTTTGATGTAACATTCTTCCCCACAATTAGTAAGTGTATTAGGATACAGTTATCTCCTCAACATTCATTTCCTCAACCAATTGGACTTTTGGTTCTAAATCAATGAACTGGTTGGACTTACTAGCTAGATGTGAAATGCTTACTCTTCCCTGATGCTGGATGTACTCAGCAACTGCTTGCATTTCTTCCTTTGATATGTATATATATTTCCCTCTATCGTCCATAACACCAGAAAGTCGACCTATAAAATTAATGCGTTTTTTAAATCAGCATCGTACTTGATGTTACACGTGATTATCATTCTCTTAATCAAAAGTTCCACAACGATAAGAGCTTAAAAGAAACCGTGACAGACGAATCCATGATGAAATGCATTTGACAAGAGAGAGAAGAATGAATAGAGTCATACCCATACTCTCCAGGGAGGTGATCCGATTAATACATTCCTGCATTGTTGAAATATACTATGACATGAATATGGGTAATATTTGCACAAAAGCAATGCATTGAGAACAAACCAAACACGATAATTGACAGCCACAGTCAAAGAACAGAACACCATTCTTCTTGATACTCGTTCATTCTGATTTATTTCGTTTTTGTTTTCTTTTTCTTTTCTTTTCTTTTCCTTTTTTTTTAAGAAAAAAAAAACAAATACGATCACAACTAAATCCTGAATGCATACAACAATCATTATAGGGTTACCTGAGTTCTGAGCTTAAATTCTGCAGCAAGATCTTCCAATGGGACACATTTATGACACTGTAAAGAAATGTAAAAAGGTTTTCAGAAATAGAGCCTCGAGGAAAGCATAAATTAAACAGCTTTAACTAAGAATAGCCAGGCTTAGTCCTCCACGGGCAGATCTTACTCCCAACCTACACTAAAATATGCATATGAACTGTAACAGACCAAGCCCACCGCTAGCAGATGTTGTCCTCTTTGAGTTTTCCCATTTGGGCTCCCCTCAAAGTTTTATAACTCGTTTGCTAGGGAGAGGTTTCCACACCTTTATAAAAAATATTTCGTTCCCCTCTCCAACCGATGTGAGATCTCACATGAACACAATATGATTCTCATAAGGAAAGACTGCACATCTCATAACAACATGACAGACTTCACCTTTATATAGTCCACAAAAGCAGAGACCAAATCTTGATTTCCACCTTCCACTTCAGCTTCAGTTGTACCTTCAGCATCAACTGAAAAATCCCCTTTCCACTTCTCAAACTCAAGTGCAGCAGCTTCTTCCTCCTTGGCCTTCCGTGCCTTGGCTTCTTCTTCCTAAACAAAGAAAGGTGACCATTCAACCACAGAATTTCCAGCCTACTTCGCACTTTTCTATATCCAGAGTTCTCAACAGAAAAGGTGATTGATTAACTAACCAGTAATCGTTCCTGTTCCTCACGCTCCTCATCTTTCTTCCTCCGCATTTCTTCATAACGGTCTTTTTTTGTCACCCTTGAGTCACGGGAAGCTTGTTCAGCCTTCAAAACGAGAACTTTTGACTTATATACAGTTAACCGGTAGAGTATAAAAGAGAACAAAATGAAAGAAAATATGCTGAATAGTGGAACAATATATATTGACCTGTATTTTCACAAATACAGTGGAACAATATATATTTGACCATAAGAGTATATAAGAGTCACACAGCAAAGCTAAGAACCTACGACATCTGCATTTTTTCATGTATAGTGGAACAATATATATTGTCTTGTATTTTCAACACGCACAGATGCAGTTGATAACAATCTAAACTTTCGATGTCAACATTTTCTAGGAAAATAGACATCAAACTGGTTCTCCTAATATTATACTCCTGTACCTATAAATATGTCAAAACTTCATATAAGCTACCTGTCTTTGTGCCTCACGCTCTTGTCGCTTCTTTTCTTTCTTCTTCGATACTCTTCCATCATGGTATTCATCCGCAGGGATTTCATCATCACTTCCATCAGCACTTTCTGTCCAAAATCATTGGGAATAATTGTCAGAGTTGTGAGTTATCATATTCAATATAATAAAATCCTGACTAAAACAATCACATATTGGTTGTTCCAAGCATTTCCAAACTTCATCCACATTGGCTACTTAATAGAAAAATGTCCATATTCCAGTGTGTTTTGCTCAATACACTAATAATGAGGGGTCAACTGCCTTCAACTTCTCAAACTCCTCCTTCATTATTACAACTTCTTCAATACTTGGTAAAGATTGACAAGCTCACACTAAATGTGTGCACTAGATGTCTAAAATAGAAACCCTTAATAAAGTATCCCAGCAACTGCAGAATGTTATGTTAAACATCCTATATAAGAGTAATAGTTTAGGTTGGCAGGACAGTTAGGTAGGTAATCTCCCTTCAGCTATTTGTTATCCCGGATTCTATGCCATTTCTCTTGAGTACATTCTTCAGTCTTGTTTTTACCAGAGAATTTCAACATTGGAATCTAAAATTTAGAAGGAATCTGGAAGAGAGCAATTCGTTAAGGTTGTTAACAATCTAAGCTTTCGATGTCAACATTTTCGATGGCCAATTCATTGCCTATTGTTGGAAGTGGAACACCAGGTATTAGGGCGTGTGGTAGTCTTCATTGCTTCTCGCTATTTTTCTTGTAGCTCCATTTTGCAATCCGTGCAATATAGAAAGAATTCTTTAAGGTCATGACCTATCTAAATTACTTGGAAGTCAAAAATCCTTAAGTAAAGTTCATTTATTGTAATAGCCTGAGGCCACCGCTAATAAAAATTGTCCGCTTTGGCTCATTACGTATCGTCATCAGCCTCACAATTTTAAAACGTGTCTACTAGAGAGAGATTTCTGTACACTTACAAAGAATGTTTCGTTCTCCTCTCAAACCAATGTGAGATCTCACATTTATATCTGTGAACTCTTGTTCTTAGGAGGTTAAATACCAAAAACAAATTCAGATGAGGCATGCAATCATGTACACTTCGTATTTCAATTCATCAACTAAATAGAGAGCTGCTTTGTGAATCAAGCTTGGACATACCTGCCCCATACTCCCCTGGCAATTGATTTACAGATAAAACTAACAGACTAAAAAAATTGAAATTAAACCAAAAAAAGATCATGGCGGGAGCGAAAATTGACATCGAAAGCTAATAGGTACGCAAACCTTCCAGAGATGCCCCCGCGTTCGAGGAACTAGCAGCCGAAGCAGGTCTACGACGCATACGACGGCCACCACCAGCGGCGCGAACCGCAGTTTCCCTCTGAGGAACCTGAACAAATTCCCACAACCAAGTGAAAACCCCGAAACACCTACTTCGAAGCAGATTGATAACCGCAGCAATGCCATTCAATACAAAAAAAATAAATAAACCATCAAAGAACTCATAACGAGCCTCCAAAAGCACACCTGATCCTCATCTTCATGTGCATGAGCAGAGCGAGAATCCTGATAGCGCCGCCACAGAAACAGAGGAACCAATGCAGCAACAAGCAGCATTGACAGAACTGCCAGAAGAACTTCTTCCATATTCCAACTTCTCTACACCTATCACCAAAAAAATTCACCGTGTAACTCGATTAATCGCTTGAAAAATCGCAAACGAAACATCTTCTGAAAGATCTAACTTCTATAATAAAACAATTACATATGAAAACGACATCATAGGCGTTGGCGAGCATACCTTGCGAAGAGGAATTAGAAATTGATGCTTGGGAACTGAAGATCGCCGAGGAGAATGAACAAAGAACGCGAACGAAACAGTAATGAAGAAGAAGTCGGAGGTGCGGCAAATACGACGCCGTTAAGAGCTTTCTGCAAGTCTTCTATATATCAAAACCG